AACAACACTCTTTTTAGTGAGATATATGTGCTTCTTGAATAACTAGGGGGAAATCAGCAAAAGCTGCAGCTGTGGAGGGGGGCTTCCTTCAACACCTGGCCACTCCTGAGGACCTGAGCTCTGAAGGAGCTTCTAGAGAAGACGGAGGGACCAGAAGTGGGCCGGGACACAGGTGGGGAGTGAAAGGTGTGGAGTGAGAACCTTCTTTGAAAGACTGGAGTCCATGAGGCCTTTTGTAACATTCAGCAACAGTGAGATTAGTATTAACTACATATTGGAGCCTACTCCTGTTTTCTACTTCTTCAATTTCTGTAGTTTTCTTCTGGGCATTTATCTGTTTCACCTAACTTGTCTAACTTGGTGACAGATAGGTGTTCCTGTTATTTCCCTAGAATCCTTTTCATTTCTGTGAGATCAGCAGTGCTATTTTCTCTCTCATTCCTGATTTTAGGAATTAATACCCCCTCCAACACATACCCACACCCACATACACCCCTTTTTTTTGTCCTGGTCAACCTAGCTAGTTTTGTCTAATTTTTAAAAATCTTTTCAAAGAACCAACTTTTGGTTTCTTAGATTTCTTGGACGGATTTTCTATTTCATTTATTTCTGCTCTAATGTTATTTCTTGCCTGTTAGCTTTGGATTTTGTTTGCTCTTCTTTTTCAGATTTCTTATGGTCAAAGGCTAGATTATTGAATTGAGATATTTCTTATTATTTAAATATAGATATTTTAGCCATATATTCTAAGCACTGCATTAGCTGCAGCACACAAGTTTTGGTCTATTTGTTCTTCCTTTCATTCACACTTTCTTACTGCTCTGCGACTTCTTTGTTTAATTTCCAGCTACTTGTGAATTTCCCACATTGATTTGTAATTTAACTTCATGGTAGACAGTGAACAGCTTGGTGTGGTTCATTTAAAAGCTAAGAACTGTTTCTTGTCCCACCCAATGCTAGGGGTTATGTTGGCCCTGCTGCCTGTACCTTGGTTCCAGCCTGCATGTCCTTGTGTTAGGGATCCAACCTTCTGTGGCCTGGACAGGTGCTTCTGTCAGAACAGGAAGTGTTTGGTCACCACTGTGAGGAATACCCTTCAAGGTCACCACAATGACTTTCATTATCCTCTCCATACTAGGAACCAGTTCCAAGGCCTTCCCACCCAGTCTCTTCGGCCAGGTGGCTCGGATAACACCCCAACACATAACCCAGAGTGATTTGCAAGGCCCATTATCTTCTGACCCCTGACTGCACTACCCGTGTGTTTTATGTTGAAGAATGTAGTCTGTCTGTGTGAATGTTCCAAGTAAGTTTGAGAATCATGTGTATTCTGCTGTTGTTGGATGAAGTAGTCTGTAGATGTTGATTATACCAGTAGATTGATGGTATTGGGTTCAACTATGTCCTTACTGATTTTCTAGTTGCTGGACCTGTCCATTTCTGGTAGAGGGGTATTAAAGTCTCCAGTTACAATAGTGGATTTGTCTATTTCTCCTTGACTTCTATCAATTTTGTCTCACTCTACTGTTTGACAAATATTAATGATTATGTCTTTTTGGAATATTGACCACTTTATCTTTATGCAATAATAGGTTAGGCTCAAGTAAATTAGTTTATCTTGAGGGCACACCTTGGTAAGAATGGAATGCTCTGGCATATTTCAAAATGGTAATTTTTTTCCTTCCGCTGCCTGAAGCACAAGGGGATTTTTCTTTGGTCGTTGCTCTAGAACCTGGTAAAACTCTTGGAGGTAAATTCATAAAAATGTTTCTCCCTCCCCCGTAGCTGGGTCCCCCTCCAGCAGTTCATCAATTACAGCTTATGTTCATCTACTCTGGCACTGGTTCTTGTGGATTTCTGCTCTGATAAGTTGTGATTCTATGTATTTGCCTGTCTGTCCCTCCAAATTTTGGGGCAGTAGTCTGCCTTGTGACCTCACTTCTCTGAGTAATATAAGAAAAGTTACTGATTTTCAGGTGTTTTTCAGCTTTATACTTGTTAGGACAGAATAGTGACTTCTAAGCTCCTTACATGCCAGACTGGAAACCAGACTGTCCTCTATCTTTTTAAGAAAATGTTCTCAGCTGTCACATTTCAAGAAGCACATACTGACAGTTTTTCTGAGGCCAGGAATGGACACTCTTAAAAAAATTATTTAAAGGCCCTGGCCGGTTTGGCTCAGCAGTTAAGAGCATCAGCCTGCGGTCCAGAGAGACCCGGGTTCGGTTCCCGCTAAGGGCACGTACCTCGGTTGCAGTTTGTCCCCGGCCCCAGTTGGGTCGTGCGGGTGGTGGCCACTCGATGTGTCCCTTTCACGTCGATGTTTCTCTCTTTCCCTCCAACTCTATCTGAACAAAATATGGAAAAAATGTTCTCGGGTGAGGATTAAGAAAAAAAAATTATTTAAAGAAAAGATGCCATTGATTTATGATGATATTTGTACTCCTCTCTAATATGGTTATAAATAAAAATATTTAACATCTGTTATGGGTCATGAAGCATAACCACCTCTATTCATTGGGAACATTTTTATTTTCTACTTGTAATTCCTTTCTGCTCTTTCAAAATATGGATATAGCTCAGAAGAGGAGTAAAGGCCCTTTTAATAATCCAAATCTACATTTCCTGTTAATTGCTTTTCACTCTGTATCTGAAGGTTTCTACATTCAGAGATTCCTGAAGGGAGGAAATTAAACCTTTCTCATTAGGGAACATTCAACTCTTAGAAAGTGATTAGTGTTGCTAGATTTGAACACAGGCCTGCTGTTATTAATAGTGAAATCACTAGAAATTGTAATGTTTTTAAGTATTATATCAGAATTTCCCTTTAGCATTTAAAAATCAGAGTGGTTGTTGATATTCCCCAAAACACTCTCATATGGCATTGGGAGGTGGTTTTGTAACTTTTGAACATAAAATTTTCTTTGAACAACAGTTTGGATATTTCTGTACCAATTTATCTCCCTACTGAAATTTTACGTAAGAATGATATGTGTTTTGAGTAGAAACAAAAATTTCTATTCTATTTTCATTAGTATGCAAGCAGGGTCCATTGAATCCAGTTTTAGTTTCTTTTGTGTGTGGTTTTAATTATCTGTAAAGATTAATATTTCATCATGACTTTTATTATTAGAGGTCTTCAAAAGAACAAGGAGATATTTTTTTGATACAACAAAATTAATTTTATCTTGTACTTACTATTAGGTTCTACTGGGCCCTTTTATAAATCTAAAATATTTTATGGAATTTCATTGGCTTTATTTTTTCTGATATCTTGAAATTTTTTCTATTGTTATCATTACTCATTAGTTATTCTCAACTATGTTATAAAGACTAAAATTATTTATTGAAATGGAAGAATGATGAAATCACTTAAAAAGATTATTCAATAGTGTTTATATTATTACTAAACTATTTTTTCTGGTATCCCAAAGGTTAAAATATTTTTCTCTCACTTTCTCTCTTTCTCCTCCCCTCTCTCTCTCTGTCACATATCAAAACAGCAAAATTTCTTTGGTAGCTAAAATGGAAGAGAACATTGTTGAGTATCTATTATCTGTCAAACATTGTTTTAGGAGCCTTATTTACATAGATTATATTATTTAAATCATATAATATACTAATAAGGTAATAATTATTACTCCTGGTTTATCAATAAATAAACTGAAGTTCTAAGTTTTATATGTTAATTTATACAATGTCAATGTTCTATGTACTTTAATTAATAAATTACATTAATTTGTTCGGGAAAAGTGTTCATTTAAGATTCATATAAGGTTTTGAATAAAATACTTCTACATTTATTAATTGTAAAAAAAATTTCATCTATTGCATATAAAACATGATCCCTGCCTTTAAGGCACATTCTGGTCTTGCAGAGTACTTAGACATATATAGAGGCAACCATAGTTCAAAGAAAAAAATTCTGTGATCTAAGATGACTAGATGTACAAAAGAGGTGGGTCTTTCTCCTAGTGGGATGTATTTTTCTTTAACATTAAATAAAGGTAACCCTAAACTTTATTGTTAATGTCTATAGCTCTTTCCATTTTTCATTATTACAATATTAAGGTTTAAAAAACGTATCTGTGAATAAATATTTACATATAAACTACTCAGCTATGGAACTCCAAATTGAAATTTTAAAAAAAATTCACGGGTTATGGCAATAATTTTTACTAATGCATATACACACATGTGCATGCACACACATGCACATACATACACAATTTTGCAAACATCAAAATAATATAATTTTGAATATTCTATTGAATATTTAAATAATTGTCTATATTCTGTTTGGTTACTAATTATTTTTGGTGTTAGGAGCAGTAGAGCAAGAAAACGTACGGTTGTTCTCATTCTTACTGAGTCTTTCTCTGAGGCACCGCAGGCAGCTCAGTGGTCCCAAATGGAGGCAGCAGAAATCTTGAAAAGACTGGGGACTTACAGTCCTATGGGTTTGGCCCCACCCACTTCATGACCTCAGGGAGGGTATGTAACTTACCTTAGCCTCAATGTCCTCACCTATGAAGGTGGGGATGGACGACATATCTTGCAAGATACGAGGATTTAATCATGAGGATTAAATAAAGTAATGTCTACATAGTCTTTATCTCATGTCTGGCACATAGTAGACGTACAAGTAGAAGTAGCTGGGATTTAATTCCAGATCCTATGTACCCCAGAGCACGCAAACTGACGTAATCTAGAAATAAGATACATGTTATGCTAAATAAAGGACATCCAAACAACCAGTCATATTTAAGGGAGGTGGTTTGTTAGATTAGCATACAAATTCCTGATGTTATTATTATTTTTTAATTACTTTGTTCTACTCAGATCTGGTAAACTGACTTTATTAGCATTTTGATCAAAAGAACCACTGAAACACATAACATATTATGAGAAAGTGGAAAATTCTGATTATATAACTCTGCACTTACTAGAACAGGAGCATAGGCACTTTTTTGAAGCAGCCATACTTTATTATCTTACAGATAAATCCAAAGCAGATGGCAAAGTTGCTCTTGTGGCCAAGAAAAGGGTAAGATCATGGTTTATGATATAAAGTATACAGACTTCAAATTCTGTTTGATTAATACAACTTAAAAAATTTAAGAGCAGAATAACATAATCAGTTTTTTATTTTAAATGTTAGTTGACTAGATGCTTTCTTTTTTAGATTGACACTAGAAATTTAATATTTATCATTACTTATATCAGTGTTACAGTATTATCAGAAATTAGAACAATAGAAAAATTTAAGTTAAACAGTTGCTTTTGCATTATAGTTCTCATGCATACTCTCATATATTGAAATATTCTAATTAAATAATTAATATTCACAGCTTAATATGGATTTTACCTTAAAGTTAAGTGAGAACATCATCAGCCATTTAGATGAATTTAAACCTAGAATTTTTTTTGAAAATTTATAAAGTCACGAGCATTCTTAAAGAATTTAAAAAATTTAACATGTTATTCTGTGTATTGTATGCAGAGAGAGATAATTAACTGTACTTACTGTCAAAACTATGATTGGGATAGGATTAACCTTGACATTGTCTTCAAGTGACATTATTCTTAATAGGATGCCACTGAAAAAAAAAGAGTCACTGCTTAAATGTTTCTGGACAAATAATATACTGGTGTCATAAGAAAAATAATTGTAATTGAAAGGAAAGTCCATGCCTGTGGTATTTTCTGTGTTGAGTGATGAGTTGGTGCAGAGTGGATCCAGGGAAGGTTGAGTGTAATCTGGGGAACAGCGAAGGATGTTGAGCATGAACCTATAGATGAGCAGGCAATAAGGTGAACATCATTTTTGTATCCTGAATATGTATATTTTATGACTCCTTTTAAAATCAGATTTTATTTTATTTATTTGCTTTTTGGCTTGTAAAAAGAATCTGGACTTTTCACTTACTAAATAATGTTGATGTGCCTTTGCAGAGAGGAATGCAATATCATAGAAAGCAGTGTTGCCCTTTGAAAAAGAAAAGAAATAGGACTTTTGTGTCTGTCGGAAGATTTAGACAGGAGTATGTGAGGTAGTACACGAGTATTAATGTGGATGGCATTATTTATTTCAGTCTCTACAAAAGGATATTTAGAATAAAAATAATAAAGGTAATAATAACTAATATTATTATATATTGCTTTATTTTTACCAATGATTCTCAATGAAGGTGGTAGTGTGCCTAGGACAGTGCTTCAAATGTGGTCCAAGAAGCAGAGCTGTTCTGTGCACTATTTATTTTTGGTCTTCAATGACATAAGAGCAAAAAAAAAAAAAAAAAAAATGAGAGTAACAGTTTAGAAATTTGTATAGTAATTTGACAGAGTAATTTTTTTCTGTTGAATGTAATAATAAAATAAAACTTGTATTTTGTCTTGGCTCTTAATTTTTTTATTTTTCTATTGATGTTTTCCCCCTAGTGACTTTGTAAAAAAATTTATAAAGTATAGATCTTGAACAAATTGGGATGGAAAACTGGTCCTTTACCACAGATAGTTTAAGAGACATTGCTCAATGGGCTGTTTTAGGAATTTGTGGGAATGTATGTTCAGATATAGTAATTTGGGGGAATACAAGGCATTTTTTAGAGCAAAGGTTAAAGACACTACATATTGTGCAATGAATGGAACAAACTGTATAACAAGAACTGCCTAACAGTTGGCACGACTTTTGAATACACTGCTGGACTCAATGAACTTCAAATATAACTGTGTAGTGACAATACAGAATAGTACAGAAACATGTTAGACAAAAAGTCAAAGAACTTATTTAGAAAGCTTATTATAGAGAGGGAAGTGAAATGGAATAAATAGACTGTTCTCAAAATTATTGAAAAATTTACTTATTCTCTCTCAACATATTGTAACATTTTCAACTATATTTTTAACCATAAAGGGTAGAAGTTCAGTGACTCAGAGCTCTATCCACAAGCCTCTGCTGTTCTCATAGTCCCCATCCTTCAGTTCTTCATCACGTGGCTCCCTGTTCAGATAGATGTGAGTCATGTAGGTGCACCCACCTGACCACATCTCTGCTCGATGGCAGCAGTCTGAATGAATGAGACTAAGTTACACTACACTAATCTCTCTGAGTCCCACTTGATTATTTTGTATTTTTTAAAAGAATGAGAAGATCTAGATTGCTTTGAGTCTCTTCCTGCTCTAATATTCCACGAACTATAAAATATTTACGACAGCTCAATAAGTACTTTCAGAATGTCAAAAGACTTATGTAGACCAGAGTAAATGTCTGAGTCAATTAGCCTAGAAATAAAAATAATTTTTTTAAAAGAATAAAAACAGTAGTATGCTAGGAAGGCGAATAGAGTAATTGATGGTGTTGCCTGTCATAGATCCTGAAAAGTGTGTGTGTGTGTGTGTGTGTGTATTCAGGAAACAGAAAATTGTGGTGGAAAGAATACAAATTTATGACTGAGCCAAATCTGCTTTCAAGAACTACTTCTGCTACTTTGTTGTGTAACTTAGGCAAGTGAACACTTCTGCACCTCACTGAATTAATCTCTGCATTGGGAACAATAATAATTACCTTGTAGATTGCTATAAAGGTTAATATGAAAAGCAATTATATAGTAGCATATAGTTAATATATTTTAGTTGGAGCTTGTATAATAAATGCCAGTACTTTTCTCCCTAATTTCCCCTTAAGAAATAGGAAGTAAGGACCTAAGGACATTTAAAATTCTCATACTTGTAATAGTATCATAGTTCTAGATAGTTAAGATTATGTAAAAGTTTTTAAAGAAAGCCCCACATTTTAATCATGATTTATTTTTTTCAAAGTAATATGATAACCTTGTATTTGTAGGATAGACTTTTAAAATCATCTAAGATCCATCACATTAATTAAACCAATTTTTATTAATTTGATGCATTTGTATATAGTTATTTCTTTATAAATATATTTAAATATAACATGTATACGTATATGTATATGTACTTTATTAACATAAATGGAATGAATTAAAACTCTACTGTTTCACTTAATAATGTGTTATTGACATCTTCTCAAGCCAAAGATCTACCAGATCTTAAGTGGTTACATAGCATTTTATTTTATGGAAATATCTTAATTTCTTGAACAAAGACATTTAGGTTGATTTGATTTGCAAAATTACAAGTAAAAAAGCAGCAGCATCATTGTACACAAATCTCTATAAATGTTTGTGTAAATAATTCTATAAGAAAAATCACTAGAAGTAGGCTTCTAGTAATAAGCACTTTTTTTTTTTTCATTTATCTTCAGATAGAGCGGGAGGGAAAAGAGGAAGAGAGAGAGAAACATCAGTGTGAGAGAGACACATCAAGTGGTCGCCACCCACACGACCCCAACTGGAGCCGGGGAACTGCAACTGAGGTAGGTGCCCTCAGCGGGAACCGAACCTGGGTCTCTCTGGTCCGTGGGCCGACGCTCTAACTGCTGAGCCAACCTGGCCAGGGAATAAGCACATTTTATATTTTGCAAATTTGCCGAACATCCCTTACCAGAAAAATCTCCCAACATCATTGTACCAATTACAGCCCCATCAGTAGTTTAAGAGAATGACTAACCTGGCTTAGCTTGCCAATTCTAGCCATTTTACAGTCTGTCTTTTTTTTTTAATTTTTTTAAGTTAATACTTTGTCAGTGTATTATAAACATTTTTTTCAGTTTTTCTTTTACATTTTATGTAGGTGTTTCTTCTGTACTAATACAGTCAAACTTTCCTTTTGGGTCTTTAGAGCTTTTGTGACATGCTGTAAAGGACTGCTCTTTCATTAAGACAAAGTACATTAAAATTCACTCAGCCTTTCTTCTATGGCTGGCTGCTGGGGACACTTCGTTGAAAAAACTGAAACAAAATTAATCAAGAGACAAGTTAGGTGATAGACCCAGGATTATTTTCTCTATTCATTTTGCTTCAGTTTTTTTTCAATGTAGAATATTATATATTTCTAATTAAGGCTATCCCAGGAATTGGTTACTAATGGGAAAAGAATCTCTTCTTCATTGTTTTCTTTGTCTTTTTTCTTTTAATCTTCACCCAAGGATATTTTTCTATTTATTTTTAGATAGAGTGGGAGGGAGGGAGAGAGAGAGAAACATCGATGTGAGAAAGACACATCAGCTGGTTGCCTCCCACACGACCCTGACCAGGGCCAGGGATGAACTGCAACCAAAGTACATGCCGTTGATCAGAATCGAACCCGCGACTCACTGGCACTGGTCCATGGGCCGACGCTCTAACCCCTGAGTCAAACTGGCCAGGGCTCATTTTGTTTTCTAATTTTTTTGGTTTATATGTAAAAAGTATATGCGTATGGGTATCTTTTTTCCTAACACTTTACTTTTATTAATGCCAAGCAATTAATTTATACTTTGAAAGACGAAATTAATAACCACTTTTTTGACTTATACACTTATGTATGAGGAGTTTAAGTTATATTTTTCCAGTGAAAAAATATTTTTTCCTGAAATGATTGCAAAAAATCTTTCATAATAAGCAGGACATTTTCATTAGCCCAATGGCAGGATAAGTTGCTTACATTTTATGACTAGATGTCTGGATATTTATGTTAATTAATAAGCTTCCTTAGTAATATGGAATTCATATACTGCAATTCACTTGATTCACTTAGCTTTATATTCATCTTTCCCCAAAGATAAATATTATAATAGATCTCTCCTGCTGGCTTCTAGCCCTAGGCAGAGAGAAATCACAGAAAGAATAGTAAGCAGAGGAAACCCTTGGAAAGGGTCTCAGTCAGGCTTCAAAACTCATTTAGTTTCCTTTTGGATTCTACTTTGTGGGCATCATTCACTTCTTCTTGGCCCAGTGTTTCTCAAACTTGAACCATTCAGGTCGTCCATCATCATTTTGCCACTTTCCATACTGCTAGTTACTATGGTGATCTTTCATTTGACTTACCTTTTCCTTCATTTAATTTTTTTATTGAGGTCAAATTTAAAGATATGAAATGCACAGATCTTAAACATAGAATTTGATTGAGTTTTATTTTATTTTTTTT